TCTTCAAGTTTTTGTCTTTACTGGTGTGTGAATTCAAAACAAAACCCAAATCTCTTACAGTCACAGGCCTCTCGTTACACTCAATAAAACAGTGCTCAGTTTCCCACCTCTCTTGGGAAATTTGCCGTTTAACAGTCATCCCACAAACCATAAGGTCTCCTCAGCACACACTCAGATGTACACTACAGTGTTAATTTCCTCAGTCACACCATAAAGACTGTGTGCTCAGCTATAACTGCTCAGCACACCAAACTGCACACAAATCATAACTGAGCTCTTCTTTATTAAGCTGGCTGTAACCTCTCAGTCTGTGTGCAAGAGAGCCTCAAGGTCCCAGCAGGCTACCGCATAACAAGAGAGAGGTGGGATTAGTGAATGTACAACACCTGTGCCGATCAGCCCTCCCTCAGACCGCTCCCTGAGCAAAAACCACAACCTGCCACTATGATCTGCCTTTATGATTAACTTTGTTTTTTGTTTTGTTTTGTTTTTGCTGTTTTTTGTAGCTTAGGGTTGGAGGCGAGTCTGTTTTAATCTGGCATGTCCGTGGGGTGGGCATCATTTTGCAGACAACAGTTAGCAACAATAGTTATCTCAACACACTTTGTGGTAGAAAAACAATATTAAACAGAGACAAGACTAAATTAACAATCTCCTATGAAGGCACTTGGTGATGGTGGTAAGAAAGAACTGCCTTGTAAGAGGAAGAGGACACCAGAGGATTGCATAGGGTAAACACAATAACAAACAGGACATAACACAAATTACAAGCAAGAGTAGATCAAATTTAATGGTGTGCAATAGTAGCACAAAAGGGGGAAGTGGTCAAGCCCAGTGCATTATGGGAAATCACCCAGTCTCTTGAGCCTACAATAATAACAACTTAAGCTGTGAACCTAATCCCAGCACTATCACCGCCAATGACAAAATATTCCAAAACAGTTCTCTGGAAGAGAAAGTCATAAAGGTAGAAAGAGTGTCTGCCTGGTTTCACAGGATAAGGGGCTTGAGCTCAAAGTGGGCATGAAATGCTTGTACTGTCCATAATTTAAAACATAAATGTATTACAGTTTTCACACTGTATGGTCTAAAAAGTGGGCTCAGTTTTGTTGTGTCCTGGCAATAGCAATTACAAAAACCAAGGAAAGACTGTTAGCTTTTACTCCATGCCTCAAAAGTGGCAAGTGGTTCTTCAGCACTGGCTAGCTGGAAAAGTGACCTGATGGATGTTAAGACCTACAGTAGCTAAAGATGAGGCCCTGAGAAAAGTCATTAGACCTACCAAGACACTAACTAATGCTACCCTCACTGTACTTTTATTATCGTTGGAATCTTTTTCAGTTCACTCCACAAGTAAACAAAAAATAAGTTCACTTCAATAACTGCAGATTTTATGTGCAGTATTAACCAAAGATGGGAGAACTGAATATGTTCTCACTGTATTCTTGGCTGATGCAAATTGTTATAATATCAGTTCCAGTTTTTGATATTACAGCTGATGATGTCGTTGAGTGTTAATGCAGCTTAACAAAACACTGATTATAATACATCCAGATGTTTCTCTCTGTTTTTCTGCAGGTGAACATGATGCAGCATGACTGTTAGTATGTTAAAATATAAACTTTCTCCTGCAGATTTTCCTCTGCAGAAGCTGCTGATGAAGACTTTTGCAATCATATTTATGGAAAGCCTACAACAACATGGAGGCTGCACTAGGCTGTAGCAAAGACACTGTGCTGGCACAAACTGTATTAAAGATGCATTTTTTAGGCTACATCGACAAAATGTTTGCTCATCAGCTGACCTGTTCACTAGATCTGGCTCCTTGCAACTTTGTCCACTTTTCCAAAATTAAAATTGCTCAACTTACTGGACACGATCCAGCTTACACCATAGAGGCAAAAGACATTGTTTAATTTTTACTGGCCCTTTCTGATCACAACTTATTAACTCATTTTCACTTTTCATTGGAAACGTTTGAGCTTATTAATGTTACTGCTCTCTTGGTATCCCAAAGGAGGGGCATGTTCAACACTGCAGAACCCCCTGATGAGGTGCTTTTTGCAAACTAGTACTGACAACCACAGAAAAATCAGTGCTGCTAGAGATGGAAGCAGAACAGGTTGATTTTTTTTTTTTTTTGTTCTCTTTAAAGTAAACGCTGTGGTGCTTTTCCACTTGGATCACTGAGCAATTTTATATCAGTGTTTTTAGTGAATGCAAAGTACGAGTGGGACTCCAACACTAAGCTGGAGCATTGTGTGTGTGGTGCTTCAGGGACAAGGCTTCGTAAAAATGCTCTGCACTTCCTTCTTTTCTTTACTATCCACCACAGAACAAACCTGAACACTGAAATTTTCACAGTGTTGGCGACATTTCAGCCAGATGAGTCCGGAAGGAAGTTACAAAAAGAATTTCTCTACTACTGCAGTGCTGCTTGTTTTGGCAAGAATCACTCAGCTAAAGATGTAAATAATGCAATGTTTCAAGAATGACAATTATATTTATTATGTTTTACTGGTGACTGGAGTTTGTAAGCAGTACAATTTATTTGTTAGTGCAAACAAAATTAAGACCATTGTCTGTCCTTTCTCTCCCTCTCTCCCTCTCTATCTATCTATCTATCTATCTATCTATCTATCTATCTATCTATCTATCTATCTATCTATCTATCTATCTATCTATCTATCTATCTATCTTCTTACTATAATGATCATTATGTATGTTTGCATATATGTACACTATTTCTTCCTCAATGTGCAGGCCAATCTCCACAAAACTGTTCGTGAATATTGTCACACATACAGCAATTATTCAAATCTATAAAAAAAAATTTAAATAAAAGATTTATTATAATATTATATTTGTATAAATCATCCCCCTGCAAATGCAACGTTTTATTCTCTGTTTGTATTTTTTTCCACAGGTCACGTTCAACAGACATCGCCTGCACTTAATGTCACGATCACCAACATCTGTATCCGTGACAGAATTTTGTTCTTGTCGCCACTACATATGGAATAAAGACAGAGCGCTGTAATTTCGAGTAATAATAACTAAAGTAACTTAACCTTTTAACTCTTCAGAACTCTTCAATGTCTCTTTTTACACGAGACATTGTATGTTGAGTTCGGCTTTTGAACCAGCTGCTTAAAGTCCTCCTTTACTACTATGTAACTGCATTACTAATTTCCATGCACTATTTTGTTCTTCCTGTCATATTCAGCCTAACGAGAGAGTTTGATGGAGTAATTTATATACTTTTAGGTCACATACCATCAGCTGCTTGTATCATCTCTTCACATGCCGTCATAGCCTGGTTGTACTGTTTCCACCTTTGGCAGGAACAGTTTTCTCGCATATTTTACAAAGCTTTGTGCTTTGTTAGCAATTGCTGATGAAACTCCTGTTTTCCTGACTTTGTCTCCTGTCACGTGTATTATGCAAGTAAACACTTGGCATTGTTATAACATTGTAATATGACACTTTTATGTCACGTAAATACTTCATATTATCACAAATAATATCACGAATAATCTGATATGATATATGACATATACTGATATAGTGACTGCTAATAAGAGATAGATTCTTCCGACTATCTAGACTACAATATCTGAAGATCCGTTTAAAGTGAAAGATCTCAGAGGCTATAGGAGAATAGAAAAGGAACATTATCAAAGATGAAGAATTTGATAAGTAAAGAAAATAAGGGATCCACCAGCAATGACCCTGTTATAAGAAAGTTGCAGGGGTCTCAGAGGATGAGTAGCAGTATCTAAACCACTTCTTAGGTGGGGAAACAAGATCAAATGCTTAAAGTAAACTAAAAAAAATAGATGATGGTAATATGATGGTTAGAGGTTAAATGCAGTCACAGAGCAGATGAATCCAAGACGAAGTTAACAGGAGAAAGAATGACAGCACACAGTGAAACACGGTACAAGGTTACTGAGTCCTCCAGAGGAGCAAATTAACTCTACCCTCATTGTGTGAGTACCACCCCCCTCAGAAAAGATCAATAACTTCATTCTTTTCATTGCAAATAATAAAAAGCATCAGAAAAACATTTGTTTTCCCGATTGTTGTCTTTTAGAGTTGCAAAGAGACTTTTCCAGTTCCTGCTTGAATCTAATCAAATTTTGGTCAAGTTTTAATTTCTAATCATAATTGTAATAAAAGTGTAATGCCCCTGCATTGAGAGAGTGGAGCTTAGCACAAGCCTAAACCCTGTGTACCGGCGGGGTCACATTATGTCATATATTTTCTTAACACAACAGAGATCAGCATACAAATATCAAAACTACTTTTTAACAAGGATTAAAAATAGTCCAGAACATTAGTAAAATAAACACTTTGTATTATTGTGTCTGTTACTGATAAAACCTGCACATCAGTCTAGAAATGAAACACTGCAATAGTAGAGCGACCAGACCAACAAAATAAATGTCACAATTGCTAAGAATGAAGTTTAATAACTTGCCATGACATTCATTAGATTTCCTTGCACGGTCTGTGTACAGAACCGTACAGTCGCTCTGTGTGTGGCACGATGGATAGACAGGTAGAGTGTTTCATCTCTGAGATTGTTTCTGATTGCTTCGGTTTCCTACAGCGAAAAACATCGAAGCTCTGCTGGAGCTCAGACTGCTTCCTGAGCGCCTTATCCCGCCCGGACGTCCCGACCAGGGTCCGTTTCTACTGATGTTGATTCATTTGTTTTACATCTCTGGCCTTAATTTACCATATCATCATCATACCGTAACCATATCACTGCTGCACAAGCGCTGCACAGACGACTAAAACCGCGGGACTGCATGCACAAATGCACTTCCCTGTTAGTGTCTCCGGGTACTGAAACCACAGAGACAGAAACCTTTCAGTACATTTTTTCCCATATTGTATCTGACCTGTTGAAGCACTCTGGCTCCTAAGTTTGACCACAAACATACACAGGCACATATGTATGTAACTATGTAACCAGAAAACAGAAACACTACCTTCCCTCAGGATTTGGCTGTGGAGGAGCAATAGGAGCAGGAAGCAGACCGCGGCGGCAGTCAGAGCCCAGGCCGGCCGAAGGAACTGCATGAGGTGAAGAATGTGTGGGCAAAAAACTCCAAACTGTCCTCAGGCTAGTGCCTCCTCACGACGCCACATCCATCCACATTCGACCAAGAGGAGGACAGAGAGAGGAGACACCTCTCATCTTCGAGATGTGTATTCACAAACGGGCCTGAAGTGACAGATCTTCAGTGGAGGAGATCTGGGATCTGAGATCCACTACACGAGAAATCACAGGGTCCTCACAGAGCTCCCCGGCGGTTTCTGCGGGCAGCAGCAGCTTTTGATGTGGGAAGTCCTCCGCTGCAGAATCACAATCCAATAAGCTTCAAACTAGAAGTTTTCCAGCTTTAACCTGCAACTTACGGCTCGGTGTCCTTTGGATCCATTCACTAACTCGTCCACGTAAAATCCGCCAAAGATTAAACAACAGACACCGGGTCCAAACCGAAGCGCCTCGGGGGGCATACTTTACGCTTCTCCGCGGGGTTTGTGATCCTGGTCGGTGCCTCGGTGCTTGCCTGGCGATAAGTGATGAGCACGGAGAAGGATGAAGAGCAGGTAATGTGTGCAGGTCTGTGTACACCCCCCCCCCCCCCCCCAACCCCCCCCCACACACACACACACACACACACACACACACACACACACACACACACACGCTCTCGCTCTCTCTCTCTCTCTCAGTCACATACGAGCTGACGTCACACCAGTTACCAGTTACAAAGACCACTATGGAGGAAAATAAAGCGTGCACAGTATTTAAGACAACCAGACTGAGTGAGGCTACTTCATGATGGACAGGAACGGAATCAGAGCGTCCCTGACCTCCGGGGAGGACTCTGACGTTTGTGTGGGGTGGGATTAAATTGAATTTATCGGTCAATAAATTCAGATTCATGAATAAAAAGTCTCATCACTTGTAAAAGATTATTTTAAATTACTGCTATTATTCCATTATTGGTATTTGGTATCTCAGTTTCCACAGGACGCAAACACAACCTGGAAACTGAAAGCGTCTTCTTAAGGCTTCAACTTGTTTTAATAATGTATTTTTTTGATAATAAACAGAACATTTTTTTATTCATCATTTATTTTATTTTTTTTGTACGGAAGCGTAGAGCTGCCACCCAGGCAAAAGAAAAATACAAGTGTATCACGTTATAAGGTGAAAGGTTTATTTGTTCTAACAAGATACTTTTCCTGTTTGTACAATATACTATCATGTTTGTACAATATACTTTTCACGTTTGAACAACATAATATCACGTTATTACAATATACATAATTATCACGTTCGTACAATATAGGATCACGTTCGTACAATATAGGATCACGTTCGTACAATATAGGATCACGTTCGTACAATATATATATTATATTGTACGAACGTGATAATTATGTATATTGTAATAACGTGATATTATGTTGTTCAAACGTGAAAAGTATATTGTACAAACATGATAGTATATTGTACAAACAGGAAAAGTATCTTGTTAGAACAATAAACCTTTCACCTTATAACGTGATACACTTGTATTTTTCTTTTGCCTGGGTGGCAGCTCTACGCTTCCGTAACTCCCCGCCGATCTGCTCCAGTAAAGAGGAATCATGCTCCTAACTCTGAATCACTGTCCATACCACTGCTGCTAATTATTAATCACCTCACAAATATTAGCATCCATCAGCAATCAGTATACAAGAAAAATACTTTTAAACAGATTTAAAAGGTAATCAGTTAAATATAAATACAAAAGTAGCATATATAGGGTTAAGTACACTGTAAAAAAATCGTGATATAAAAGTATTTTACTGTGTATTTTACAGTTTTGTACTGGTCTTCTAGAATATCATTAAATTCACATAAATAGACTGTGATTTTACATTTCAAATGTAAATTAACGTAAAATCACTGTTTTAGCCTGTTTTAGCCTGCTGTGTTAGGATGGACAGCTACAAATAACAAGTATAGCCTAAAAGAAGACAAAAAAATAGCTTAAAAATATACATAAAATCTTTTTTATAATTGAATTTTTCAACTAACTCGATGCATCGTTGCACCCCTGATCATGTTGTGTCATATGAACTAATAATGTCGCTACTATAATGTCGCTACTGATCAATTACATTTTAAAACTTGCTAAAAAGGTCCAAGGAAGTTCCTTTTTCTCTTTTTAAGGAGAGGTCAGTACCACATCATGGTTTTATTAAGTGATTAGTTTCTGTTAGGTGAGGCTGTGTGCAGTCAGGAATAGGACCCAAGGTGCAGACTCCGGAGACAGACGTGAACTCAAAAAGGCTTTAATGCTGAACGCAACATGACATAACTAGAAAAACTCAAAATAAACTTACACCGGTGGACAGGCAAAACACACAGCAAAATAAACGGTAGATCGCGACACGGACACAGAGAAACACAGGGCTTAAATACACAGAGGGAGCAATCAGGGAATGAATAACAGGAGGGAAACACAGCTGGGGCAAATCAGAACTGACGAGACAAAAGGAAGCGTAAACTGAACACACTGAGATAAGACACAGACCTTCAAAGTAAAACAGGAAACACATAACACAGGCTCACATGCAGGCACTACAGAGGGAACAGAGACGTGGGACCAGGGCAGACACAAACACTGACTGAACACGGGGATATAGGAACTAAGGATACATAGAGACGCGAACTAGACAAGGGGATACAGGTGATAGGGGAGACAGAGCAACTAAAGAAGACAGAGACATAAACCATAAGACGGAACTCAAAGAAACCAAAAACTAGGAAGTATAAATAATATCAAAAACTCAAAAACCCTGGGTCGACGACCCAGGCATCCTAACAGTTTCAGTTAAATGACAGGAAACAGAAAAAAACAAACAGCAAATTATTAAAACAAACATCTGTAATGAACACATATACATATACCTATATAGACAACACAAGAACGCTACACTGCAAACCTATTACAGTAAATAATTAGTGAAAGCTATAATGGGAAACAGTGCAGACAACCAAATTTCATTGATTTAGCTGAGCTCATGAATCACAAAAGTGTCTTCATAACTGGGGAGAAAAGAAGAAAAACAAACAAATATGAATGTTTGTGAATGAATGATTCTATTCCACTGAGTAAAGCCTGAAGTTATCTCGGGGGAGATATTTTATCAAATAATTTTTCTTATATTAAGCAGCAATATATTTTTTTTCCAAACTTCCAAACTGATAAATATCACGCAGCAACGTTTCTCCTTTGTGTTCAGTATTTAGAGATGAATGAGGACTAATAAAACTGTTGGTTGATGATGGAAACATTTGAAGACAGTAACAGCAGTGCATCAGTTTTTCAACCTCTCTGAATGAATCCATCCAGCTGATTGATTGCTCAGCTTCAGAGGCTCCAGGTTGCTTTCAAAGACTCTTATCAAAGCTCTCAGCGTCCTGTCAGACAAACTCCATCAGAGCTGCCCTACTGCTCTGATGGAGATCCGTCTTCATCAGGTCACGCTCTCTGGATTTCTGCCGGCAGTGATTATTGCTGATGTTTTCCTGCCATCGATTAGCTTTCCACAGAACTGTCAGTCAGAGGTGTTGTATGAGATGAATCTACAGAGAGAGAGACATCAACAAGAATGCTGCCAGGACCTATCTGCTGTGTGTAACAGCACAGGAAATGAAAAGTGTCTGACAGAAAAGGAACTGAGGAGATGAGGTCAATCAAATCAACCAGAGGTCTAAATTCAACACTCAAAAAAATGAAACGTTGACTTTAATTAAAATTATTTTGTCAACAGGTTCCACGAAATTGAATTATGTTAGTTTAAAGCAAAAATCTTTAGTTCATCTAATTTAAAAAAACTACTTAAGATTAACAAGACATATTTAAGACTAACTAAATCAAGTTATGTTGTATGAACATAGATGATATATTTTCAGGTTAGATAGTTTAGATTAGTTACTTCAACACATTTCTTATTTGTGGCAGTAAAATGTTAAATTTAAGTTAGATTAATTCAAATATATTTTCAGCCACCTTGTGCTTTATTAATTAGTTTTACATAAATCTATTTGTCAACAGGTTCCACACAAATGAATTAAGTACATCCAACTTATTTTTTAAAATTTATTTTATTGCCAACACATTCAGTGAGCATTTGTGTAAACCCAGTCCAAAATAAAACACAACAGCTCATTAGGGTTAGTAATTAACAGTATGTAGACAGATGCAACATCAAGACTTTAAATTAAATGTCTGTATCTACCAGAAATAGAAGAAAAAAAAAATGCATTGAAGATCACATAACACATTGATAAGATGACACTTGAGTTATGCACATGTGATGCTAGTAAGGTCTGTGAGTGTTTTTTTCTTTTAGTGTCTAAAATGGATAGCAAAGTTGCTATTTGCAATGATTGCTTAGGGTCAGTCCAGTAACACAATGCCAATGAAGTGCTTTCCTTTAACAATGCAAAGTGAAGTGTCCACCTCAACAGCCACAATTTAAAAAAAAAAAAATGTAACAACAACAACAACAACAATAATAATAATAATAAATAGTCCACTGATATTAGCAATCAAAGAAAATTACATCACCATCCCAAATAAAACTTTAACAAAACATGCCAACATTATGGTCTAACAATAAAACAGCTTGTCAGCGTTCAATTTTTTTGCAACAGCACAGCAGTAACCATTTAACACTCGCCACTGTCAACATTTATTTTACCAGTGTTTGGGCAAAAAACTTCAGATGTAAACATTTTAACATGGAAACAATTGTTCGTCTTTAAAAGTCCACAAAATATACATTCATCCTGCATTCCCAACTTGGATGATCTGATATCCTCGTGTTGGTGTTGTTCCCAGACCATCATGAAAATGTTGTTCCAGGTTCAACATTGCAAGTGACCAATCACATTGTTGTGACGTTATTCTATTCCAAGCCATTCGTGCATTTATGAAATTCCAATGTTGCAAGGACAATATCAATTCTGCTTACTGTTTATTAAAGGGTTACGGTTAGGGTTAGTTGATCGGCGGACAGAGGCGGTTTCTCGCAGCTTAAGTACAGTTTTTTGTTTTACGCCGGTTTTTCCCGAAGTCGCAAAAGTATGACGTCACAACATTCTGATTGGTCACTTGCAATGTTGATCCTGGAACAACATTTAGTATGATGATCTGGGAACAACACCAACACGAGGATATCAGATCAACCTCCTAACTTACCCTTAATTTTAGTATGTATTGCAATTACCTTTACAATGCACACAATGTAACACAAACTGAATATGAACATATTTCCACCTCATAACAATATGCCTTGAACGCTAATATACACACCACCCTTCAACATTTCTGGTGCAGTATCATCTCTCAATTAAATCCTTTAAATCTCAATACTTTTGATTGTCTCTTAGCTTTCAGTCTTGAGGTTAACTGAGATTCAGTGCATATATCCCACCCATTAAGAGTGCACATGCAGAGGCCAGGTCTTCCAGGTCATGCAGGACACACTAGATGGTTATACCCACATCGGCTGGAGGAGTGCTGGCATCAGCTCTTTCGATGGTAAAGATAGCAAGGGTAATTTGTTCCAGCTCCCTCTGAACAGCTGTAGCTTAGACACAAAAACATAGAAAAATGGCATCCAGTTTTAAAAAAAAGAAAGAAAAAGGGCCAAAGCTACCCTTTAATGACGTAAACACAATATTAGGAACATGCACCCCAGTGTGCCACTATTTTAGACTACAGATTCAACGATAAATATAAATAGTTTGGGTATACAAGAAGATTTCCCAAAACATTTAAACAGGTTCCATGCAAATTACAACAACAACAACATGCAACAACATTAGTTATTCAAAATTTGGTTTAATACAGATAAAAAACTAAACTAAAATTACCAACCAATTATTCTTTGAAGAGGATGCTTGGGTCTTCATTCAGGTAAAAAGGTAGTGCCCTGAGGACACACTCCCTCCCCTTTTCAATGGTTTCCTTCTGTAGAGAGTGGCAGAGATACAGGAAGAGAAAACAGATATACTTTAGGATGACAGAAACTCACATTATACGCAAAATGAATGACATATCCACTGCACAGATAGACATGTACACAAGACCAACTAATCATCACATGGACATGAATAGTTAACCTGTTGGGCAGGGTTTCCACCACATTATATATGTCCATAATGGAGGTAAAGACAAACTAATACATCATCTTTTTTGCATTCAAAACATAACATAAAAACATTCACTTCTGGTTTAACCTAAATCAAGGGATCAGATTTTACATATGTTTAGGTAATTTAAATTTTCCAACGTTTTGAGTACCAAACTTTGTCTTGCTTAATATAAATGTAAGTGCACTGTGCAGCTACCATACACTAGCTGTTTAAATTTGAAAATGATCTTATTATCCATAATATTTTGCTACCAACAGAATAACGCACCTGTGTGGCTGGGGCCAAAGTTTGTCTAATTTTCTTCCCTGCAACGCCTCCTTTTTTCTTGAAGACTTTTATGAGCTGGTCAGTGTATTGGTCAAGTTGTGTAAAAAGCCTTGGAACATGTGCAGCAGTAGTAATCCTCACATATTCTGCTTCCACCTGAAAATATGTCAACAAACACAACATACTGTACTGTAAATATACATACTATATGTACACATATACAAACTAAAACTAATGTAGTAAGACCTCATTAAAGCTATAATTTTAACACAAACATTTACACAAAATGCTAATGGAGCCATTACAGCTTTTATTGTTATTTATCAAGTTCCAAAAAATATTGATCACAGCTGATCTGAAAAGAATTTCATGCCTCAGGCCCTTGAACTGCAACCTTTACCATGGTTCAGATGTGGAGAAGAAATAACAGGGGCATGGGATGGGTCACAAAAGAAAACTTAACTTATAAAACAGTTTTGTTTTTAAAAGTATAACAGTTCACATACCACATACAAGCTCAGCAGTACCACATACACCACATCAGTATAGGAGGGAGCAGGTAAAGGCAGGATCTGAGATTTATAAAGAAAAAAAAAATTAATTCCTTAATTTCAAGAAGCAAATTATTGTTTGAATTACAACTAAATAAAATACTACTCAGAAGAAAAGCAAGAGATTGACACTGCCATGTGCTAACTTTCTATAGAAGCAATTATCACCAGGTCTGTCGACCTCCATTGTCTGTCCACTCATATGTCTTGAATAATTTTATTTAAAAAATTAAGTGTGTACTTTCACAAACTGTAATTTATAACTACATTGATATGTATAACTCCGCTAGGAAACATGCTGTATTTACAGACCATTTTTAAATAATACAGATTACTGATAGAGCAGAACAATGGTGTCACAGTGGCTTTCGCCCTTGACTTTTTGGATTTTAAATGTCACTTTATGCTATCCTTGCTATCCTATTCGATATTTCCGACTCTCGGATTACAGAAAAGGAATCCCAAGAAAGCAAATGGAAAAATAACCCCTTGAAAGAATAACCCCATGAACCCCTGTAGCTAATCCCTTAATAAAACAAAAAACAATAAAAATGTTTCTTACAGGCCACAAAATAAGCATGTCCAGGACCCAGTAAAACTAATGTAAAACAAGCACACGCAAACGATATAACATGTCTTGTAAGACAAACGCAAAATATAACCATGCTGGACATATAGATACTACACAACATAGTCAAAGAAAAAAGTGGTCTTACCTCTCAAAGAAACAACAGCTTGGCGCCAAAGCAGCCTTTTTCAGTTAAATTTGAAGTCTTGCGCATGAGCAGGCACAAGCCGTGAAACCTTCTTGTTCTGCGCGGTTTCATTACAACTGTTTTTGCATTACTGCCACCTTGTGGATATACAAGGTATATCGATCCTAATTGACTTAACTTAAATGTTATGCGATCAAGTAACACATTAGTATTATGTACGTTGAATAATAGACACAATTACGTAGACTTGATTAGAAAAACATATGTTAACTTAACAAAAACATATATTTTAAGTAAAATGAAAATAAATAATTAATATACACTGAACAATCCACCTCATTCATTTTTTTGAACCTGTGCGCAAAGGTTCTGTCTACTCACCAGAGAACCTAGATGCTGCAGAATTAAGTTTTCATTTGTCTGAAGGAAACAAATCTGGCATGGATTTTTCCAAAAAGACCATTTTTTCACTGCCATCTCAGATTCATATTCAGAAAATAAGTCATTACTGCAGCTGTGTAGAGAACTGACTGATCCTGAAAGTATGTATCAATGCAACACATTATCACACATGGACAAGACACAGCACTACACTGTAATCCCAAAAGTTATTTGCATTCAAATGGTTTAGCTATAATCACTGATGGTAATTAATTTTCTTTGTAAAACTAAAATCATATAACTGTGTCAGACAGAACTCATTGGTGGAAGCTTTTTGCACTTAACCTATATTGTTTTGCATGTGATGCACTAAAATGAATACATTTAACATGGTCCTTTCTATTTTAAGTTTATTCTAATAAATAGTTTAAGTTCAATTTTTTATAAGAGAATAAGTTTTAAACTCAACACTCAAATAATAAAAGTAAATTTGATGTTTACTGATCATGTTTACTTGAAAGCACTTTCACTATTTTTAAGTTTTTGTTGCCCCTCCCATATTTTTCCCGGCACTGGAACCGAAGAGACGTCTGGACTTGTTTGTCAGGAAAAATTAAGACAAGTCGTTTTTGGTGGATTTGCCTGGGATTGGACATGTTTGTTTCAGTCTACAGTCGATAGGGAGTACTTTTCCTCAAACCTCCACGCACACTGGTGAGTTAAATCTTTTTATTTCAACTTTAAGCAAAAATAGTTGCATGTTACATTACGCAAATGTGCACGCTAATTCAATCTACAGTGAACCCTCGTTTACCGCGGGGGTTACGTCCCAAAAACAACCCGCAATAAGTGAAATCCGCAAAGTAGTGAAAAGAATTTATTATAAATGTTTTAAGGCTGTAACCCTCACAGCCTTAACCCCTGCTCATGCGTAATGGTTCTAGCATCTTCCTCGTCCATCCAAACCGCGCGGTTCCATTGTGTGATGTGAGCACATCCAAACCGTGTTCAGGGTTAGCCCGGGTCCGGACTCCGGCCCCGGTCAGAGGAGGAGGACCAGAGCACGGCCGGGCACCTCCAGCCGTTCACACGGACAAATAAACCTGTCATTATTCTCTGCACAGCCGAGCTCTGACACTCAGCCCCTCGCTGAGGCTCGAGGGGCTGAACACCGCTCCTCTGCACCTGTACGGCCTCTCGTAAAGTTTACTTTATTAACATGTGCGCCGCTGCAGCGCCATTCTCTTTATGGGTTGCTGCCTTATCAACATTGAAGAATGGGTCAAATGCAGAGGACAAACTTCATTATACAGTTGTATAATGACAATAAGCCTTACAGATTCCCCAAATTTTCCTGTTTTTTTTTTATTTTATTTGAACAATTAACTTGTACTTAAATAATAAACAACATTTATAGAAATACAATACTTTGACCTTTTATACTTGTGTTACTCTCCACCAACAGGTTAACTCACAGTTTTTCCCCCCCTCTGTAGAATGCTGCTGATGGTGACCTTGAAATCCCAATAGGAATCATCTTCAATGGTGAAAACGGAAGTCCAGAGCAAGAACTGAACCCCTGCCAGCTGGGGATCCTTCTAGAGGGCAATGTGGTAATGGATTCCATCTGCAGTCTTCCTTTGGCAATGTGTCTCCTGTTTGGACTGACTTATGCACTCCACTTGGAGTACCCAAAGTGCATGAAGAATACATTCCTGTTTATCCAGCAGATTATGCTGAATCTGGGACGAAACGATCCTCCTCCAAAACTCCAAAGGCTAAAAAATGAGCTTTCAATGTGTGCATAGATACATTGAATGTTCACTCTTCATTGAGCAGCTTTTTCTCAAGTTCAGGAAGTCATTATTGTGTTTGTAATTGTCTTTTTTTGTTTTTAGTGGATGGCAAAACCAGGGCTTAAAGGAGTAGTTCACTGATTTTACATACTGAGATATGTTCTTACCTTAGCTTTGAAGAGTTGATGCATACCTGTCTTGTCTTTGTGCGAGAGAAAGGCTCTCCCATATATTCCAACTACCTCCACTTTTTGCTCCTTTTAGAAGCTACCGAGCTCCTCCACGTTTTCCCTATTTATGTAAAATTACATGAAAGGTTACACTATCTAAGTTTAGATTCACTAAATTTAATGTATAGATTTTTTAAGGCGATAAAAAGGGGCACTATATTACAAGCGCGCAGTAACCCTAGTGCACTCTGGAGCATAGACTGAGTTACTGGGGGGATGAAGAAGTGCTCCTACAGTGTTATTACACCTTGTAATATAGTACCCCTTCTTATCGGCTTAGAAAATCCACACGTTAAATTTAGTTAAACTAAACTTGGAGAGTGTCACTTTTCATGTAATTTTACATAAATAGGGAAAACATGGGGGAGCTCGGTAGCTTCTAAAAGGAGCAAAAAGTGGAGGTATTTGGAATATATGGGAGAGGCTTTGCTCCATTTGCATGACTGAGGGCACGCACAAAGACAAGACTGGTACACATCAACTCGTCAAAGCTAAGGTAAGAACATATCTTATTATGTAAAATCAGTGAACTATTCCTTTAATTTCATTGTCTCGCTGGGGCCATTCCTTATTCCATAGTTTTTATTTTTCCAAGTTAAAATATTTGTGAAAATAAGTTTTACTGTTACAACTTGTTACCCAGAGTGTCGCACCAAAGTTCTTTACTTGTGATACACAGTTTTATCTGTTTAAAAGGATTGTTTTAAAGAAAATGTTTTATTGGAAGTCCAATTGTGCAAACAAAAAACTTACTGTTCAAAAAAAACTACCTCAGAGACCACAAATAAATTCTTGTCAAAAAGTGGCTAGGAACAACTGAAATATTGTGTTTGTTTCTGTCATGACCCTGTGCCTTCTCGGCTGACTCTGTATGGCTACAAGTGTTTTTGTTGCGCTGCATCTCTCTCTCTCCCCTGCACTGCGCTCTACCGGGGCGGAGTCATGACGGCTCCAGCCCCTGGCTCGGACACCTGCAAGCAATCATCTCACTCACTTCTTAAGGCGGCTGCTGAGAGTGCTTCCTCGCTGGATTATTGTGTAACACTCGTCAGTGTCATCACCTATCTGAGCCTTTTTCTGAGTTTCTGTCGTGCCACTACTTACCTGCCTTTCCTCTCTGTGCCAGGATTCTCGCCAGCCTGAGGACCGCCGTTGGTGAGCTAAAGCCGGAGTCCGAGCGACCTGAGATTCAGTGGATTTTGTACATAGCCCTCTTCTTCCCGTGCCTGTGCTTCCCGGAGACCCTCTTCCTGTGCCCCCTCACCTGTATATATTCGCACCTGGTGTCTGTGTGTGTAAATAAAACGTGAACTTTAGTGACGGTCTGACTCCGAGTCCCTCCTGAGCCTGACAGTTTCTGAAAGAAATGTCTTCTTAGAAGCGCCATGTGTAAAAATTGGAATACTGTTCAAAGGAAAACAAAAGTCTTGTTTTGTTATAAATAAAGTAGAAAACAAAAACAAAAAACACTTTAGTGGTCTTTGGTTTTGAGTGTGTTTGCCTTGATATATTAAGTTTTAGTAATAATAATACATTTAATTAAAAGACGCTTTTAATTAAACACTACGCAAAAAAGTGAGTTTTGTAATATTAGCACCACTTAAACAATTTAGTTTTTTCTATTAATATTAAGTTAACTGTACTTAAACAAATTATTTTTGAAATATTGAATACTTAAACACTTTAGGTAGCGATGACTCAATATAGTAAATTGTGACAATTTTACTTTTAAGTTTACTTGACTAAATCAGTTAATTTTTTGTTTTGGGTTGATTACTCAAATCATTTGAAGGGAATTGGTTTCCTCAAACGATTTAAGTGTATTGAACTTATCCGGGTTTACAGTGTAGGGCCAGAACCCAGCCACAGAAATGTACTAAAATTAAAACTAATCAACCCACCACCCTCACAAAAAGGATTAAAAAGGGTATAGTTCAGGTACATGGATAAAGGATACACACTCACAAAGTAATTAAGAAATCATACTACATGTACTATAGGACAGTAAATAGCAGAATTAATATCATGTGTCTTTACAATGACCATCCAAGGTGAACCAAATGTTCTGCAAATGATTCAAGTAAAAAGTCTTAGTAAACAAGTCAGTATGT